CACCATCTTTCAAAAGAAGAGGGTCCTGCTTGGAGAAACTAGCCAGGATAAGCTCCCACCATACTACAAGAGTATGGGCTTCAGGACACCCAAGGAGGCCACTGAGGGTACCTGCTGTGACAAGAAATGCCCCTTTATGGGTAACATCTCCACCCGAGGGTGGATCCCATCAGGTGTATTGACCAAGATGAAGGCGCAGACGGCCATTGTCATTTGCTGAGACTACCTCCACTACATCCAAAAGTACAACCACTTGGAGAAGTACAATAAGAACATGTTCATGTGCCTGAACTCCGGCATCAGGGACATTTAGATCAGTGATTTCATCATGGTTGGTGAGTGCTGGCCCCTGAGCAATACCATTTGCTTCCCGTGCTCAATGTCACCAAGACCTCCAGCACCAAGAAGCAATTCCAGAAGTTCTGAGACTGGATGCCTGCTCACTTCCCCAAACAAAATAAAAATGTTTTCCCATTCAAAAACAACAACGATGATAGCAATATTTGTTTAGTATCTCATCATTTCTGAGGGTCAAGAATTTGGAAGTGGCCTGAGTGGTTCTGGCTTGAGGTCTTTTGTGAAGTTGTAGGTCTTTTGTGAAGTTGTAGTCAGGTATGTTGGCTGGGGCTACGGTCATCTGAAGGCTTGACTAGAGTTGGGTAATCTGCTCCTTAGCTCACTTACGTGAATGGCACGTTGGTAGAAAACCTCACTTGCTCACCAGATGGACTTTTCTATAGGACTGCTTGAGTATCTTCTCAGCATGGCACCTGGCTTCCTCCAGAGGAAGTGATCCAAAAGAGAGTGAGATGGAAGCAGTGACTGTTTCTGATCTAACCATAGAAATCACCCTCCATCATTTCTACAATATCCTTTTGGTTACACAAGTTAGCCACATTCAGAGTAGAAAGAGGTAATATCAGGAAGAGAGAATCGTTGAGGGCCATTTTAGAGGGTTGTTATTTCCTTTTTTATTTCTTTTCTATTAGTGAGATAGAGTATACAGTCAGCCTGCTTTCTTTAACTGTTAAGTTCTATTTGTAATCTTAGATGATTTTAACTGTTAAGTTCTTTAACTGTTAAGTTCTATTTGTAATCTTAGATGATTGATTTGAAAGGAAAATGTAAACATGTAAAAAATAGTCCATATTAATATGGAACTTGGCCTATTTCATGACCCAACTTTTAATAGTTTTGGGGCTTTGGACATTTTTTCATGGTTGTTCAGAAGATTTTAAAAATAGTAAGGCTTTTTAAACTATTACTTCACATTCAGCCAAATCGTCGCTTACCAAGGAAGATAAGGCCCAGTCCCTCTTGCACTTCAGAGAAGGCAAAGGAGAAGTAATTTAGGATGTTTGACATTTCAGCTAATCCCAAAACATTCTTCTCACTGGTTGCTACATCAATGGGTTTTATCTGTTTTGATTGTTGTTGCTGTTTTTATTGACTTGTTTGATTTCTTACATGGTCAGTTTTGTGGTGCTTATGAACTATGGGAGATAACTAATAAGGCAGAATGGTGCTTTGTTGTAAATCAATATGGTATTACTTTTCTGTTTGAAGACAATAAAATGAGTTTTTGAAATGTACCCTTTGGGGGGAAGAATAACTTAGAAGTAAAAGACATTTCAAAAGTTTCAGATAGCAAAAAAGAAAAGAACACTTTTTTCATGGTAAATTGCACATTTCCATATGCTGGGATTAAACACCTCTGCTTCTCAACTCTAGTAAAATGTTAATCTTTTTCTGAAACCTTTAAAAACATTCTTGGAAATTTTGTCAAAAGTATATTCTAAAATGAGAATTGAAGCCATCGTATTAGTGATTTGCTTTTTGCTTTAAAAAATTTAAGATTCATGATTTAAATAAATGTTTCTGAGTTGTCATTGTCTCTTAAGAAGAGTTGATGATAATGTTAGCTAGTACCAAATCTTCAAGATGATGTATTTTAAGAGATTTATTTAAATGATCGCTTCAGCTAAACCAGCAAATAAGCAAGGTAGACAAATAAATCAAGATTTACTCTGGAATCTCTTATTGTTGGATTTGTTCACTTTTGATTAGTGTAAATTATTTTGTGTAGAGAGTTTAATTGGAACCCCAGTTTCCTCCTTAGGATTTTTTTCTACTGGTAGGCGTACATAGATACTATTTGTTTTGACAGTGGTACAAAACTTTAAACTATTTACTATCTAAAGAATTTTCATTATAACTTATTTTTTAACTGTTAGGTTTTTTTTTAACCTCAAAAACATTTCCATTTGCATAATACATTTCTCTTAAAATGTGAAGGGAAATATTAAAGCAGAAAATATGTAATGTCAGATATTATTATTTTCATTTACCTTTTTTTTCTTTTGCTTCTGTTCTAATAGACAGTTTATACTATCTTAAACCTCTTTTACCTTGGATTTTCAGATAGAGCTGATAGGAGAGTATAGCTTGATATTTAAGAGTATAAGTTCTAGAATAAATGCCTGGGTTTAAATTTTACCCTATCTCTAGGGCCTTTGTTGAAAACAATCAGTGATAGTTGTTTAACATTGCAGCTGCCTGAGGTGGTTATACCAGTTGCGACTAGCAAGAGCCTGACTAAAAAACTTAAAAGAGTATACTGGGCAATAAGATGTTTATAGGGGTCTTTGAAAAGCTCCGGCATATCCCTGGGATTCTAGAATGAACAAATGTGTGCAGGGAACATATGCTATGTCCAGGAAAGACCTTAGAAGTCTCTAACCTTTCACCTCTGGCTAAACTTGCTTTCTGCACAAGTAGGAAGTAAACATTAAGGCAGACAAAAGAAAAAAAATGATCAACTGGAATTAGTCAAAAGTAAAAACTTTTGTGCTTCAAAGGACACCAACCAGAAAGTGAAAAACACAGCAGAATGAAAGAAAATATTCCGTAAATCATGTATTTAATAAAAGAATTGTACCTAGAATATATAAAGAACTGTTACAACTCAACAATAAATAGACAAATAATCCAATTTAAAAATGGGCAAATGATTTGAATAGCCAGTTTTGCAAAAAAGATGTGCAAGGGCCAATAAGGAGATGAAAGATGTTCAACATCATTAGTCATCAGGGGAATTAAACCACTTTACACACTAGGGTAGCTATAATAAAAAAGATGAACAATAGTTGTTATCAAGAGTATGGAAAAATTTTATTTGTTGCTGGTAGGAATGAAAATGGTACAGCCACTTTGCAAAACAGTTTGGCAACTCCTCAAAAAGATAAACATGAGTTATCATCTGACCTAAGAGTTATCATTCTTAGGTATATACTCAAGAGAACTGAAAAAATAAAAAACTTGTATACAAATGTTCAAAGCAGCCTTATTCATAATAGCCAAAGAGTAGAAATGACCCAAATGTCTATCAGTTGAGGAATGGATAAGCAAAATGTGGTATATCCACAGTTCAGGGATAAAAAAGAATGAAGCAGTGATATATTCTACATCATAGATGAGCCTCGAAACATTATGCTAAATGAAAGAATCCAAACACAAAAGACCACATATTTTTTTCCTTTATAAGATGTTTTCAGAGCAGGAAACTCCATAGTGACTGAAAGTAGATTAGTGTTTTCCAGGGACTGGAAAGAAGGGAGAATGGAGAGTGACTGCTAATGGGCTGGGCTTTCTTGTTGGGGGTGATAAAGATATTCTGCAATTAGTAAGTGGTGCTGACTGTACAACCTAGTGAAAATACAGTAGTCTCCCCTTATCCATGGCAATATGTTCGAAGACCCCCAGTGGCTGTCTGAAACCACAAATAGTACTGAACCCTATATATATGGTGTTTTTTCCTATACATGCATACGTACCTTTTCACTTAAAGGAAGCACTTTACAGCTTCTCTTGGGCATATCTGAATTGCCAGCATCACTACTCTTGTGTCTTGGGGCCATTATTAAGTAAAATATACGTTACTTGACTGTAAGTGCTCAGATATGGCCACATTTGATCTGCTTACTGAGACAGCTACTAAGTGACTTAACAGGCAGGTAGTGTGTACAGCGTGGATGCGCTGGACAATGGGATGATTCACATCCTGGGTGGGTGGTGTGGGATAGCATGAGATTCCATCCCGCTACTCCAAATGGCGCAATTTAAAACTTATGAATTGTTTATTTCTGGAATTTTCCATTTCATATTTTCGGACCATCTTTGACCACAAGTGACAAGAAATAGCAGCAAGCGAAACCATAGATAATAGATAAAGCATAGGGTGAATGACTGTTAAAAACCATCGAATTGTACATTTAAAAGGGTGACTTTTATGTTATGTGAATTATATCTCAATAAAGTTATTAGAAATCAAAAAAAGAAAGAAAAACCCTACAGCATGTCATTTAAATGGATCACATGGTATTGAAGAATAAAATTGCTCCAAAGGTTTCTTGCTTAGCTGGCTACTCTATAGTCTTTGCAGTTTTTTTTTTTTTTTTTAATGAACTGTTAGAAGACTGGATTTCCATTTGTCAAGTGTTATACTAACAGCGGTGCATGACTATTTTTTAGTCATACAAAGGTTAGTCAAAGCTACGTATAAGAAAAATTCCCTAGAATTAGCCAAATTGAGATTCTTTCGGTATTTTTGTAGAAACTTTTACTTCATTTACAGTTGTGAGTTATAATGCTTTTAAGCATTTTTTGAATGATAAAATCCTTTTTATTTCAATGATTTATCTTCAGTTATATGTCAGTAAATGGTAAGATACTGATTTTCTGTATACTCTGTGGATTTAAGTAGTTGGATTCAAAATGGACTAAGCTTGTTATAAAGTTTCACTCTTTTTTACAACTGAATTTTGAAATAAAATGAATTCAGATCTTACTAGCTGTAAAATCTTATTGAATGATTTTTATGGTTTAATCAAATTGAGTATATTTTGTTAGTATCAAGATTCTATTTTTGTATCTTTTGTAGTTTTAAAAAAAATTTATATATATATATCATTGTAGTCTGTTCTAACCCACTGTATGCTTAGCTTGCAGAGCACAGAGAAGTACGGCATACCTACAGTCTGGAGTCTCTTTGCCACTGCCCTTTTTATGAAGAAGCCATGCATTTAGTTGAAGAAGGAAAAATTTACTCAAGAGTGCTTAGGTACCATTTGAGTTTTTCTTATGTTTCTGAAAAATACTAAGGTGCTGTTGCTATGTTTGTATGATATTTATTAAAAATGGTTATACGAATGGAGGAAAGTATGTTTTAGGCTCAAAAAAATTTTTCACATGTTTTGTCAGTATTGAAGACATGTGTTTTATATTAAGGTCCTGAGGTTAAGCCTTGTTTGAGTCCAAATTTGTAGTAGGCTTGATCTTGAATGCAGTGTAACAGTTGTCTCCCTGTTTATTACATAGAACTGAAATGCTGGAGTGCCTAGGAGACAGTGATTTTCTTGCCAAACTTCACTGTATTCGACAGGCTTTTCAGGTATTTTTTTTTTTAACATTAAGAGGCTTTACCCAGCCACTCATCCCCACCCTCATGCTATAGAGTCCAGCTGCATATAAACAAGATGGCTTTTGCTCTTTATAATCTTTATTCCTAATGGCAAATTTAACGTCTAGTAAGTTTATTTTTCCTGCCTGCTGTTTCCATTCATTTGACTTCATTTGTCATTGTCGTTTCCCGTGGCTTCCCAAGTCCACCACACTTTGTCATAACAGAATATTTTGATGCTGGAGATGTGTACTAATGGCTGCTTAAAATAAAAATCCTCTTTTTTATTATCTATGTGTTCTAAATTGTTTTTTATTTGAATCAATTATAACACTGATTTCTTGATATAAGGTCACTAAACAACAAAATTATCTTTATTTTTTATATTTTGGGGCTGTTTAACATTTATTTCTGATATTAATTTGAATTAATATTAATTCTGATTATTAAATTGAACAGAATTTAAATTCTCATTTATCTCCCTTTAATATTTTTTGATTATAGGTTTCAAGAGTTCATTTTATTTTAGTAAATTAGGACCTTCTCTGTGGTCTGCCGGCTGAAATAGTGCCACATACAATGCATTGGCTGTATTAGGGTTATTTGTACATAAATGTGCTATAAAGTCAAATGTCCATTCAAATTAATTCCAGGTCTCTTTTTTCTTTGGGGTTGGATTTTTTTTAGGTAATCCTTTCAGAAACAGCCAACAGGATTTTCCTTGCTGAGAGTGGAAGGAAAATTTTATCAGCATTAATTGTGAAAGCACGAAAGGTAAACTTGTTTTGTTGTCACATATTTTATTGTTTCAGTTGAACTGAAGATTAAAATACATTCAGTTTTTAATAGAAGAAATAGTTTTTGTAGGTAGTCACAAAAGTTCACATACTAAAAATAAATACCCCAAAGAGTACTGATTTCTGCTTGGGTTGATTTATTTTCTATATATAAAGTCCATACCGTTTTGATCAAGTTGTTTCTCATGAATTATTCCCAATTTGCCATGAAGTCTGTGAATGTGATGGTGAAAATCATCATTAGATCTGCTACAACCACCACTATTATTATTTTTAATACTACTCTTCTCTTACCTCCTTCAATCCTGTTCATTAAGAAGGTTCCAGGAAATAGTGTAGATCTCAGAAATCTGGAAATACAAATTGAGTTACCTCTTACTCTTACTCATCTTCATGGGACTGAATGAGGCAGAAGCAATGAAAAGAACTGCATTAAGACTGTACAGAACCACTTTTCTTTATGCAAGGTGTGTCCAACTGATGTGGAAAACCAAAATAAAACAGGCCTTCTTTGAACCATTCAAATACCTACCTGGTTTACAGAACCTCAGTCCCAACATTTCTATAATAGGATTATATTTATGATACCCTATTTCAGAGGGTCTTTACAATGACATAATAATAGTGATCGTTGTAGTAGCAGATCTAATGATGATTCTCACCGTGACATTCACAGACTTTATGGAAAATTAGGAATAATTTATGAGAAACAACTTGATCAAAATGGTATGGGCTTTATACATAGAAAATAAATCAACCCAAGGAGAAATCAGTGCTCTTTGGGGTATTTATTTTTAGTATATGAACCTATGTGATTATCTTTAAATGATAAATGGGAAAGCAAATTTTTTACAAAGTGCAAAATAAATGAAAGGTGCTATTAACTGTTTGCAAATCCCAGTGTAAATCTTATGTTGTTTTCGTGGCCTTTAGGCAGATAAACCTAGTGATTTGAACCAGAGTTTCTCTTAAAGTTGTAAAACTGCTTTTCAGAAGCATTACATGGTATCCTCTGTAACCAGATTTTCATATTAAGGACTGATCTAAATAGGCATACATATTTGAGTAGTAGGCAGTTTGCTTATGACATGTGACTAATGTTCTTAGTCTTGACTTCTGCAAAATGTTGGATCAACAAAATATTAAACCAAATTAATATGGAACACCTTGAAAATGTATTTTAATTCAGTTGCCTAATAGATTGAAGATATAACAAACATACTTGAAGAGTAACTCATTTACTTTGTAGGCTAGAGCCTTATAAAGTTGAGTTTAAGATTAAAGTGTATTTTTTTTCTGCAGAATCCAAAGAAGTTCGAAGACGTTTTTGATGAAATGATCTATTTTTTAGAGCAGACTGATCACTGGGATAGTACAGAAATGGAACTTGCTGCTAGAGGAGTAAGTTCAAAGTTTTTATATTTATTCTCCTTAGTTACACATAATATTTATATAATTTGAGGCCACTGTTTTCATGTCCTTATTAAATCATAAGAAAACCAGTTGTGTGGTGGTAGTTATGACAGAATCATAAACAACAGCAACCCCAGTCTTCATTTTTTTTTGGCAACAGTTGAAAATAATTGTTTTCTTATAAGCCTTCCCCTCCCTCCCTTCCTTTCTCCCCTCTCCCCTCTCTTCTTTTCTTCTTTCCTTCTTTCTGAAAGTCAAGCACAGGCTCTAGCAGGGTGGTAATGGTGGCCTATGTAGAGCTGGTTTCAGATCAGACCACAGGTAACTCATTGGAGCTAGGAGATTAGCTGCATGTATAGGATCAGACAAACAAATATATTGAGAATAACTAGAGCCAGGTCTTACTCTCAGAGAAGGAAGGTATAAAAAGCTAGGATTGGAATTAGAGCTGTCAGTGTGAATTCATAGTTTATAATAAATATGGATAGCTAAGATATAGAAATAAATATAAAGGCTTACATATACATAGACATACACATATTTCCTAGCTGTACTTACTGCAAGGGTCTGGGAGCAGCATTACCTCAAAAGAAATTTTTCCTCACACATAGATCTTGGCTCCTAAACACTCCACTACAAGGAACTAGGACTCCTTGGAACAAATGGCTGATTTCAGCACTGGGATAGAGAAAGAACATGATGAACCTGGGACATTTTGTTGTAACAGAAGCTTAAAGAATGAGTTTACAAGGGGCTAAAGGCTTTCTAGGCAGAGAAAACAGTAGATACAGAGACATAGAGGCATGATCTTTCTTTCTCCGCTGTTCCCTCACTTGGTGAAGGAATCGGTGTTCATTCAATTGTGCAGGCAAGAACCTAGGACTCATCTTCTATACCTCCCTAGTTCTCACCTACTTTATTGTATTCATCTCTAAATTTTGTCAATTTCAACTCCTGTCTTCCAGTTTCTTCATTTTTTCTCTATTCCTGCCAGCCCCATAGTAGTCTGAGTATCTATTGTCTTTCCCTCAACTACCTCAGTCTTTGCATTCCCTGATTCCTTGCCTACATCTCCACTCCCTGTGTTCACTTTCTCCTCTCCATTCCATTCTCCACATTGCTGCCAAAACAGTCCTTAAAAATACAAATCTGATCATCTATCTTCCCTCCACCACTCTCCCCCTAATATACTGTGAAGATAAAATCCAGAATCGTTGACATGGGCCATAAACTCTGCAGGAGATGGCCCTTCCTCTTTGTCTCACCTCTTTGTTCTCTACTACAGTAGCACACTTGCCAGTTTTCTTGGACTCAACACCACTGTGTTCCTTTTCACCTTAATGTCTTTGACAAGGTATTTCCTGTACCTGGGATGCTTCACTCCCCAAAGAAAGCGCTCTGTGACATCCAGTCTAGATTAAGCTCTCATAGTACCATGTACTTTTTCATTTACTGTGCTTATCACAGTTTGTTATTGTGTATTTGTGGAATTATTTGTTGCTGTCTGTTTTCCTCAGGAAACTCTAAGCATCTAGTTTGCTTACTATAGAAGTATGAGCACCTGGTGTAGCATGTAGTACAATACAGTATGCATAAATGAACAAGAGGTTCACGATGTGGTGGGGAAGACAGACAGATATACCAATAACTCAATGACAAAGCAGAATGAGTATTGTGGAGACCATAATAAAAGCACAAACAAAAGATTCTTAGAATAGAGGAGAGGGAGAGATTAATCTTACCTGATGGGATCTAGGAAGGAACAGCTGTCATATGAATTATAATTTCTGGTGGTGAGTTGTTTGCATATTTTTCCCTGCTCATCTTTTTTTGTCAGAGAGATAATCTGACTTAACTAAAAACACCCAACCGTTTCAAAGTATGAGGTCCTGGCTCACTTAATTTCAGCTCTGTGTAATAATTTCTGTTTTAACTCATAATTTAATGCAGGTGAAAAATCTAAATTTTTATGATGTTGTTCTGGATTTTATATTAATGGATTCCTTCGAAGATTTAGAAAACCCACCCACATCCATACAGAATGTAGTAAATAATCGCTGGCTAAACTCCTCCTTCAAAGAAACTGTAAGTGGTGGTTTACCTTTCTCACCCATTTAAATTTGATGAAAAATGATCCGAACTGGAAAGATTAATGAGATTTACATGTATATCTGCCTATAGAATGACTAGTGTGGACACTGAGCTCACCCTTTGATATTGGGATCAGATGTGTATGATTTATAACATCTTTAGGTGAAATTCCCTTTTTGGTTCTATTAGTTTTTAGATCTCAGAAAACAAAAAACAAAAACAAAAAAATCTCTCAGGCTTCAGACTAGTTCAGGCCTAACAAAAAATTGTAATTGAAATGACTCTATGACTAAATTGAAATATAGCAGTTGCAGTAAAAGACAATATATATTTTAGAGGAAAATATGAAGATTTATGTTCCCAAATACTACCAAAAATTTAGAGGAGAGAAGAATAAGCATGTACCAAAAAGAAAAACAAGGTTTAAATTATATTCTACACATTGAATATTTTAAGTTTGTTGTTTTTCTTACTCAAATCTCTATTTGACATTTTTTTTTGTGTGTTGTTGAGCTTTAAGTGTGTACTTGGAAGTAGCTAGGGTAGATACTCATAATGAAATTTGAATGCCTTTAAAAAAATCTTCCAGTTGGTGATTTCACAATTATTGTGCAAATTCCCGATATTAAATTTTAATAATTTTAATAAATCCACTTTTCTCTCAAAGTATTTTTAACCATAAAGGGTACATGTTATCTCCAACTCCATAACTAATTTAGTAAAGTGACCTTGATCAAAGTCTGGTCATGCCAGAGCAGGGGCAGATTTCTTTAGGATCCTACTTGGGTGTTTTCGTCCCTGTCATTATGGTTGTATTTCTTAGTTCTCTATTTGAGTAAAACTGTTAGCTCTACCCACAACTATTACCAGCAGTACTATTTTTGAAAAAAAAAGTTCTTCGTCTTCATCGTCATATTTAAAACATTTATATGTGCATCTGCGTATAAATATTTCTGCTCTTTTCCTGTAGGAACAGAATTTAAGAACTCATTGATACCTGAGCTCAGCCTTTTTTTCTTTAGTGGCTTTGTATTTAATTTTAAAATTTATAAAAACAAAACACCATTTCATTAATACTTACAAACAGTAGAAGGAACCTAGACCGATTCTTACTTGTAGTTAATGTTTTGAACATTTTAGATGCATCAACTTTGAATTTCTAAAAAGAATGGAAAGTTTATATAGGTATAAATTTAAATCTTGCTTTTTCTCTTCTTCGTATATTTAGGCTGTGGCTTCAAGTTGTTGGTCGGTGCTGAAACAGAAAAGGCAACAAATGAAGGTAAAATTCATTATACCGTGGACTTCTTTGCTAAGTAATTTGAGGCACCTGTCAAACATCTGAGTCAGTTCTCAAGTGGGGATGGCAGCTCATGAGGACTGTGCCTCAAGCTAGATGAGTGACTTATCAGTCCCAGGTTGGCTTCTCCTTTTTTGAATCTCTTCTCTCTCTTCCTTAACATTCTGTAGAGTTCAGTATAGCAAGTATTGAGGCATGCATGAGTTTTCTACTAAGTGTGAGAGGGTTTAGGGCTGGAAATAGCTTTGATAGAGTTTTGGTTTTTGTTTTTTCACTTAATGATGTTTAAAAAAAATATGTAGTGATTTCTACTTCATGTACTCCAACTGAGAAATAATGATTTGATTCTGATGGCTATTTTATTCAAATGAGAGCCCCTATGAAAAAAAGTCTCAAAGTTTATATCCTGCCTCCATGTTCTATACCCTTCAGCCCAACTCACCCACTACACACTGCTTTTACCATACATTCCTATGGTCAAGGGTATGGACTCTGGAGTGAGACTGCCTGGTTTCAAATGCCACTTACTAGCCATGACCTCTGGTAAGTTGCTTAACCTATCTATACCTTAGTTTCTTCATCTCTAAAAAAAGAGCATAGTATCTACCTTATGGGGTTTTTGACGATTAAGTGTTCAGTTCTTAGAATAGTGCTTGGCATAGTGCATTATGCAAGTGTTGGTTATTATTATTATTTGCTCATTGACTTATAGTATTTTTATCATATCCATGTTTCTTAGCCTGATACTCATAACTTTGAGGTGATATTGCCAAACCACATTTCTCACAGCATCTTCAGAGGGTGCTTGTTACAAATAATTCTGGAGACCATATATTTGAATAATTCTTATTTAAAATGGTGCCAGAGAACCCTGTGTTTTAAACAAGCTCCCCAAATGATGATTACAAACTATAATCTGAGAACTACTGGATTAGGGCTAAGGAACAGCCTTGTAGACTGGGTTTGATTCTCACATAGCTAGTACGATCATGGGCAAGTTACTATCAACTGACTTTAAGTTTTCCTATTTGCAAAATGCGATTAATGCCTACCTCATAGGGCTGCTGTAAGGATGAAATGAGATAATATCAACAAGCTTAATTTAAGCATAAAATTAAGAGTAAATATTTCAAAAGTTTATTAAGTGATAGCTTTCATAATTATAATATTATCATTATATCTAACTTTATTTCTTCTTAGTTAAATCTTGTGCCTTATACTAGTTTTTTCTTTCTGTATCCACAGAAACCTATGTATCTCATCTCTTGGGAAACTATTTCCTATACCTGAAATGCTGTATTCTGTCCTCCGTACTTAGATAAATTTTGCCTGCTGTTGAGTTCAGCTCCACGATTATTTCTTGATGAAGCACGTATATTCTACTTCAGCCCATGCTAACTTCTAACTTGTCTGAACTCCTAATACAGTTAGAATCTGTATGGAATTTAGAATTTCAATTTATGAGGAACATTTCTTAGACCAGAGTGACAACTTCAGTGCATCCCTGATAATTTTTTGGCCTTCACTAGCTAGCTATGTATGATTTAAGACAGGTTATTTAATCCCGCTGAAGTATAACTTTTTACATATTAAAATGTTGACATGACCTACATTTTCAGAAGCGTTTTATTAAGTTAAATAGAACCTAGCACATTATCTGGAATATAATGAGTAATCATTAAATGGTAACTGCTGCTATGATATATTTTATAAGTTGAGGTTTAGAAGATACCTTGGAACCTGTAAAATAGCAAATAACCCCTCCAAAAGACAGGATCTTAAGGGATAGTTATCCCCAGTCAACGCTATATGACAAATCCCATAGAATCTTATTTAATAGAAAGTTATTAATAAACGTACAAGGTTTCCTAAATCACAGCCGTATGTATTACTATTTCACAAGAAGAGGCAATTACAAAATTAAATGCTTCAATAATATCTGGTTCCATTACTAAAAGTGTGGATTCTAGTAAGCATATTTTCGTGCTTACTCATTTAAAAATTGTTTTAGTCTATTTCAGGTAATCTAAAGTGATTGAGTAGAACTTTTTAATGGCTAAAACAATGGCAGTCTTTTTTTTAAATAATTTTTTACTTTTCAATTATAATTGACATGCACTATTATATTAGTTTCAGGTGTATGTACAACATAGTGATTAGACATTTATGTGACTTATGAAGTGATCACCCCGATAAATCTAGTACCCATCAGTTATTACAGTATTATTGACTATATTCCTTATGCTGTACTTTATATCTCCATGACTATTTTTTAACTACCAATTTACACTTCTTAATTCCTTTACCTTTTTTCTTCTATCTCCCCTATCCCTCTCCCATCTGGCAGCCATCAAAATGTTCTTTGTATCTATGAGTTTGTTTCTGTTTTGTTTGTTCACATGGCTGTATTATTAATCCTAAAAATTATACTGCTAAGGAACACTGTAGCATTCTTGTTTTTACTTGATTACAATACTGATATGATTGCTTTTCTGTGAAGTATTTTTATGAAGTGAAAAGGCCTTTCAGAAATAATATTTCTCAGCATATTTAAAAATATTGGCTAGGATATAGAATCTACAGAAAACATTCTGTGACTCTAAAAGTTACTTATAAGTTTATTAACTTTCTTATTAGGCTGGCTCATCATCATTGACCCTTGGTCTACACTCAGAAAGATCTGGTCACATGATGGATAGCAATTTCAGTTTCTACTAGAAAAGGCAAATTTGAGAAAGTAAAAATAACTTGATTCTCTTTTACTACCCAACAGATCCCAGATGGATTTTTTGCCCATTTTTATGCCATTTGTGAGCACATCAGCCCTGTCCTAGCCTGGGGCTTTTTGGGCCCTAGAAATTCTCTCTATGATTTATGTTGCTTCTTTAAGGTATGTTTAGTCATTGAATCATTTCTTTTTCTACATCAAAAAGCAGATAAGGTATTATTGTTTTGTTTTTGTTTTTATAGAAGAAAGAATGTTATTTAAAGGTAAAGTTATAAAAGTCACACAAATTTAGTGTTTAAGTGCCAGTGGAACAGAATTATATAGATTTGATGCTTAATTATATAGATTTGGAATAGTTTTAACAAGTCCATTCACCTTATCAGTTCCTTCTGTAATTGAAACATATTCTTGGATGGTGTTATGATGTTATAGTCAAATTGCTGTAGACAATTTATTCTTTGTATGTGGATGCTTTTGAAATTTATAAAACAAATGTCTATGGCACATATGGCAGTTTTGAAATAAGTTCTGGTTCAAAGTAATATGAATAATAAAATTCTAGTTGTGAGACATAACATGGGAGTTTAAAGTTGTATCCTAATGTCAGCAGTTTAAGTTTGTCAAAACACAGGTGATAGGTCATTGCAGAATTTCCTGCCTGGCACAGTGCTCAGAAAAGTTTCACTATTTAGATAGTCTTGAATTTAGGCTGAGTTTCAAGGAGCAAATAAAGTAAATACAATCAGGTATGAATTTGAAAGCTTTTGATGTTTGAAAGTTTGGATGTTTCATTATACCCTTCATTTAAAAAAAAGTTAAATTGTGTTTATGTGCTGTTAATGTAGCATTTATGTAAATGGTTTAGGAAATGTTTATTTTACTCATTATTTTTTGACTAGTTTACTTGACCTCCCAAATGTAAGGTATATGTTTAGTGGGAAAATTCTAGACTGAGAATGAAGTCTGTTAATGAGCAATCCGACTCTGGATAAATTATGCTTTGTCCTTCTTTTCTTCATCTATAAAATGAGAGGGCTTGACAGGTTGATTGCTTATGACCCTTCCAGATGTAAAACTCAGTGAATCTAAGAAGCGTGCCTTGTTAGTGTTTCTTAACACTTGATTTCTGTAGGGCAGAAATTAAGTATTCTTGTTTTTTTGCTCTTTGGAATTATTCTTATTTTCACCATGGCATAACAGCCTAAGACTTAATACTTAGCAGTATAAAACTTAAAATGAGTTTCAGCATAAGTATTATTGAAATGAAATATCCTTTACAATCTTCCACTGATTTGAGACCTGCAATTATTTTTATTTCGCATGTGTCTTTAGTTTTTTTATGTACAGAAAAATATATATTTAAAACTTTTCAATTACAGTTATTGGAAATAGTGTACTCTTCTGTCTTATAGTACCAGTGCTCCCAGGTAACATTGAAAACTTCATTTATTGGGAAAGGACTTAATAATAGTCCCTTACATTTATACAGTGCTTAGGGTTTACAAGCATTTCCTACAGATTACTGTTTTTGATCATCACATCAGCCCCGAGTAGTATAAAAGATAAGTAGCATTGTCCCTTATTTTACAGAAAAAGAAAATGAGACCCCCAAAAAGGTTTAATCAGTTGTTCAAGGTCCCTTTTCCAGTGAGATATGAAACTAGCACTGGAACCTTGGCTTTCTGACTCCTAATTCAATGCATGTTACAATATTAGTAGCTATTTAGATTTAATATAATTTTGGTCTAATAAGTGCCAATTTGTTTTGCGTTTATTTTCCAGAATCAAGTTCTTTTCTTTCTCAAAGACATTTTTGACTTCGAGAAGGTACGCTATTCCAGTATAGAGACTCTGGCCGAAGACCTCATGCAGTTGCTCATTCGCCGCACTGAACTTTTAATGGCCTATCTTGGAGCTGATGCACTGAGGCATACAAGTAGTTGTATAAGTAGTCATGGTAACGTTCTGTCCAGTGGCCTAGTGGAAGCCAAAGTGCAATAGATACCATACAAACTATATAATTTGAGTGCTATGAAATATTTTAAGATAACTATTGATTTTGTAACATATATTACATAGACTTGGTAGATGTGGACTCAGGGAGGAAAAAAAGTCTAGTAAAGAATGAGTGACCATACTGTACTTACACAGAAGTTCTGTCATTGAATCCCTGTGTAGTGTATCCAAAGCAGCTTTTTATAGTCTTTAGGTAATAATTTAAGTCGTGAAATGTATATTTTGTAGAAATATTGCTTGAATTGAAGCCAGTACTTGGGAGTTAATTGATTTGTCGTCTTGAAGCTGTCTGAAATGTCCAGTATCCTTCTCAAAAGCTCTGTTTTTATGCTTTGCACCTTGAAAATGTACAATTTAGCCAAGACCTTTGTGGCCCACACATGCAAGAATATATGACTCTTAGTGTCAAGAGACTTAACTTCACCTGAAAATGTATTTTTAATTGTAAAGTTATTCATTTGTTTAATCAAGTTTAGACAGTAGTGGTGTTTAATATGTACTGCTTACATTATTGCTTGTGCATTTGCTTATGTATTTGATTCAAAGAAATTGTAATGGCTGACAGTGAGAAGTTTACAAGTTTCAAGTTTATATTAGATTCACTGCAGTTTCCAAAATATATTACTGTTGGTCCTATGAGTTACAAAACAGAGACTGATGAAATTTCTTTTAACTTTCTGTAGATTAGAACATTTTTCTCTTGAATGAATATTGATTAAAAAGATAACAGTTATTAATAATGACAGGCAATTAAAATTTTTCTTGTGTAGTTTTGAGACTATCTCCCAACATCTGAAGGTGTTTATCTTGGTATAGTAAAATCAGTTTTCCTTTCTTCTTCTATAAAACTTGTTTTTAGTTATTCCCACAGAGAACTTAGCACATTTTGTCATATTATACCCATATTTGAAAAATATTCATACTTTGAATCTTAGTGAGGTTTTAAAGAAGGTTTTTTTCCCGTATCGAACAGAATATTTTTAATTGTATGGAAGTATATTTTATATCCTTTCTGATAAATATATAAACAAATGAGTTGTTCATATAAGTAAAGATTCTTGAGAGTATATTAGATACTTTCACAGTTATATGAATTTTGTGTCTAAATCATATACCACGTGGAGTGGCTGACTCAGTATATCAATAGATTGGATTTATTGATTTTGTTTTTAAAGTGGGCTTTATTCATCTCAGAAGTAAGTTTCCCAGGAGGATCGGAATATATTTTTTTAGAATGCATTTTTAGATTAAAGTGCCTATTTATGATTAATGAATAGAAAATGAACAGTGGGGAAAGGCATAATCTTTTAAGGTTTTAAATTTATGTATGTACCATGTTTATGTAACAGTTACAAAATAAGAGATTCAGCATCTTTATGCTGTTTGCATGTACTGTGTTCCATAATGTATAGGCTATAGCATTAAACAATGTGAAATATTGCTCTAATAATTTTTGAGTATATAGTTCCTTGACTTTTCTTAACTATAGTCTTAATTTAAGAATTGGCTACTTATAATTCTTATTATTAGGGGAATGTCAGAAGTGTCAAAGCTAAAAATTCCATTATGTAATGTTTTACTTTTTAATTTATATCTTGTATTTCTAGCTTCTCGTTGAGGTACCACTGGCCTTGAATGATTCACACACATACACACGTGTGCACAGACACATTCCCTTTATCATGTAGGCAAGACAGGCATTGCTTATTCTGTTTGGGGGGGCGCTAAATTTTTAAGTTGTGGTTTATAAACAGCTATAAGTAAACTTAATTATATTTTTATTTGAGGAAGATATTGTTTGCAATCTATTTTGAAGAATTGCACTACTTAATAATGCTGCTACTGCATAAGATTACTGGGGGATTTATTTCATCAGATAAGATGAATGGCTTTCCAGAAGGTTTTTTTTTTCTTCTTTACATTTCACCGAAAAACAAAAACAAAAACAAAAAACAAAAAACAGTTGCCCATATTCAAGAAGTTGGTTTATCTAATTCAGTAGCTTGAGTTCATTTAGTTTCTAGTCAGTTTAGTAGCTACTACTTTAGTAAGATGCTTTCTTTGTGGCCTTTAACAAAAGAGACAAGAGTGACCAAATAGAATTGCAGAGTAATTATAGGAAACAGCCTCTTTATTGTAAGGGAAGAAACTTGACCATTTAAAAAGAAATGTCTCTTAAAAATGTTTTTGACCACAGAATAGTACTTAAGACATATGTGCCAATTTCAATTTGCCTTGAAATTGGGTTAAACAGCTAAAGCAATGTTTTAAAAAAATTAAAAAATGACTAAATTAGTTTTAAAACCCTTTAGGGTAAAACCTTATGTAACACTTACTCATGATAGTATTATCAGAAAATTGCCATTGCCACTATGAGTCCTACCATCTACATCCCTATGTAAATTATAAGAGGGCCTTGAATTAGTCCTGTGAAAGTAGATTCTTTTCCCTTCTGTTTTCTGGAAATAAAAAGGTTAAATGTTCAGATGATTTATATTTAATAATTTTTCTATTTTTTCCTACATTTTTAAGTAAAAGGCTAGTTATTTCTTCTTGAAGTCCTATAATATGTTTATTAAATGTCAAAATTAGGTTATCTTTTTAAAAAGAAGCCAAGTTTTTCATACTGTTAAAATCAGCTCCAAAGAATTCTCTCTTTAAAGCAGTATTCTTTATTTGCACCCATTTACTGATTCTTAATTTGTTGAATTAACTAACTTTATAAAAAATATTAACAAACTTTTTCCTGCCTTAAGATGTAACATTTTCTACCTAAATGATTAGCTGAGGAGTAATTATTTACATTACAAAAGAATTCTTTAGTTTATCATTCCTTTAAACCTATGAAATAGGAATGCCAAAGTAACATTTAATATACTTTTCTGTGACCTTTCATAATCAGAAATTTTAAATTATGTTCATAATTTACTTTTATTTTAATGTGAACACATATTAGGAAATTATTTGGAATATGCATTTTGAAGTGATTGTATGAATTAAGCTGGATTCAAATTTTGGGGTTTTTTCCTTAGATTAATCATATCTAGAAATCTCTGTGTATGTGAGACTTAGAAATTTGTATAATCTGTGATTAATGGAAAGAAGGGCATCCTTTCTTTCTCCCTAATGATTATATTATGTTAGTATTTTGCTTAATTTGAGAACAACCATGTAGTAGCTTTACTTGGCTGATATCAGTAAATGTGTCTATTTCCTAGATGTAACGACTGCACTTAACTAATTTATGTAAAATTGAAACACTACAGTAGCAGAATAAAATAGCACTGACTCTTTAGCCAAAATAAGCACTATAACATGGATGTATTTCTATTACTGCCAAATAAAATGTGATGGTACATCTTGCTAATGTATTGAGTATTTAATACAATGCTTATATATTTGTAAGATCACACTCATTGCATCAAACCCTACCCTTTGGGAGCTTTCAGTCTCCATAAGACCTCACATATACGGACAGAGAACACAGACAACTGCAGAAGCATTGAAATATCAAGTGTAAAAGTATATATAGACACCGGATGGCAACAAGGGTTTACCTGGATATAGAAACAGTATTTTTGATTTGGGAATTTTAATAAAGAGGTTTATTTGTGTACAATATAGATGAATGTATATAGTTATATTTTTAAACTATTAAACATAAACTGAAGTACTTATCTTAATAAGCAATCCATAGAAATATGAGTGGAATCTTTTCCTAGCTAGGATATAGGATTGGAGATGGAATGGGAAACCAGATCAGCATCTCAATATTATCTTCTCTTTTCTTTGTCATCTGCCATACTCTTTGTTGTCTCATGCCATCCTCTTTGATTCCCCTACCTGGACTTATTGTTCTGCACTTTAAACATCTCCTATCGTTACACTATTTGTAAGGCTTTGCTGGAAGTCTTTATAAACTCATTTGATTTATCCACTGCCATTCTTGCTCTTCTTATGCTGCTTTTGACTTCTATTTTTCATGTAGTGTTTCTTCCTATCCCCAGTGTTCTGTAATACTTTACCCTGCCACTTTTTCTCTTTTAATCTCTTTCTCTCCTTATGCTACTGACATCTTTGATCAGGCCACACAGCTCTTTTGCTGAGGTTCTTTTTTTGTTTTCTTCTTATACCTGAACAATGAAAACCCTTAAGTAACCTTCATCATTTGGGCAGGAAAGGACTGATTCCAGAACAGAAAAAAAAGCAAACCTTTTTTCTATGACGCTTTTAATTTTTTACTTAAAAGCCACAGCAAAGCAACTGGTACATCAGATACACCTCTGCGTTTTGCTTTTAACTGCAAAAGGCTTTCACAAAGTACATTTTTATATAGGAAATTCTAGAACTTTTATAATTTGCTATGTTTGAAATAATACCCAAATACTTGACTATAGGGAAGCACTTTGACATTTGAAAGTATTTGACATATATGACTTCCAGAACTTTGCTAATTCTTTTATTTAATAATACTCCAAGAGAATAGGGACTTTAATGAAGATTGAGTGCTTAATGTGATAGAAAATGGATAATTTTTAAAAGTGGGTTAAGGCAGGTGTATTTGTTATCTATTGCTGCATAACAAATTATCCAAAAACTTAGCAGCTTGAAACAACCACTGTTATCTGACATAGTTTCTAAGGGTTGAGAATCCAGGAATGGCTGGTTCTAGCTTAGGGGCTCTCCTGAGATTGCAGTCGTTGGAAGATTTGACTGGTGCTGGAAGTCCAGGGCCATTTAGCAGAACTACCTGAGTATTTTTAAAGCATGGCAACTGGTTTTCCCCAGAATGAGCAACCCAAGAAATATCATCAAGGCAAAAGACACAGTATCTTTTGTAACCTAATTAGAAGTGACATACCATTACTTGTGTCATATTCTGTTGGTCACACACAAAATCCTTGACACAATGAGGAGATTACACAAGGGTGTGAATATTAGGAGGCAGGATCATTTAGGGTCATCTTGGTGGCTGGATACCACAACAGGGAATCGTAATAAATTATATATCGATAATGTAGACATTTTAATTATAAATGAATAAGTACACATTCTTTGACTAATCTTCTGAAATAAGATCAAAGTCTTTATTTGATTATAGATCTGAGATATCTCTGTTGTATAAACTACCCCTGTAAATCATCATCTGAGATTTCCAGTGTCTCTTTTAAAGGAAAAAAAAAATTTACTTGAAAGCAATGAGTACCAATTCCCCCTTGATTTTTATAATCTTTTACCCAATTTTTTACATTTGTCTTTCTCATACCTAGCTTGATAGTCATTTTTGTAAGCTATTTGCCTTTATTGAGTCTCTAAAGCATTCAATTTTTAATTTTTGTAAAAACAATTATTTTTGCTTTTAATTTTTCCTTTTTGTAAAGTTTATGCAATTTCAATAACATGCAACTAATATAGTCAAGTTTGAGAAACCCAACTGATTCATGATAAATATATAAGAAGTATTTATACAAATTAGCAAATCTTACATTTCTAATAGTCTTCTCAAACTTAGCATGTCCAAAATTGAGCTCCTGACTACACCTGCCTAAACCTCCTCCTCCCAGACTTTCTCATCCCAGTAAATGACAACTCCATCTTTCCATTTCCTCAAGCCAAAAATTTCTTTTCCTCACACCTCATATTCAATCTGTTACCAAATCCCATCAGTTCTACTTTTATAAAATGTGCCAAGAAAAAAAATGTGCCAAGCATTTCTCACTACCTTCACAGCTATCACCTTGGTCCAAATTCCCATTACTTGTCATCTGATTATTCTGGAAGCCTCCTAATTGGTCTTCCTGCTTCATTTAGTGTATTTGCAGCATATTGGCCAGAGTGAGCATGTTAAAAATGTGTCAGCTCATGTTACTACTTTGTTCAAAAATCCACCAATGGCCACCCATCTTACTCAGTAAAAGTCAGAGTCTCTACAATGTACGAAAAGTGTCCTCCGCAGTCCATCTGCCCCACTCCCTATTTTTCATCCTTTTCTACTAAGCTCCACCCACCCAAGCCTCCTTGCTCTTTCTAGAGCAAGTCAGGATCCTCTTCCTGGCTTTTGTACCATTTCCTGAATGGCTCCCCCCCACACACACACCCCAGAAAGCTCCAGATAGTAACATAGCTCACTGCCTCACTTTCCTCAAGACTTTTACTCATATGAAGCTTTCCCTAGTCACTCTATTTAAAATAGAATATCTATACTCTGC